TAGTGCAGACCCTGGAGACTAGATGAGACAAACAGTTTGCCTGGACATTTCAGAGGTAGCACAGCCCCGGTGACAGCTTGATTTCAGACCTCCACCTTTTTGAACCATGAGACAGAAAAAATTCTATTGTTTTCAACTTCTGGGTCTATGGTATCTTATCACTGCAGCCCTAGAAAGCAAATATAGCATAAAAACATCAATTATATTTATGGTGAAAAACATGATATACGCTAATAGAATGCTGTCCTTCCCTGGGCACAGACTGCTGGAATTGGAAGGTGACTGTCATTGTCCTTGCTGACACTGCCATTGTGTATGAGAATTGCCATATGTTGTCCCAAGTCATGCTTGTCTCAGAGCTCAGTCCAATTGATCTGACTGCTTTGCAGCCAGGGTGACCTGATTAGAATCTGGGTGCATCACCCACCTTTGTAAAACCTTCTGTGGCTTCCTTATAGCACTGACAATAATATCAAGTTCCTCTAACAGATTCTCACCCTCCCCCTTCTTCTGCCTTGGTCCCACTTTTTCCTTTAGCCTCCTCACTGCCTGGCTGACTCATATTGAAACGTCAGGTTTAGGTACAGATTCCCTTTCCCGTGGCTTAGCTGACATCACAGATAGTCCCATGATCCACCACAACTTTCCTTGCACAGCATTAATGTGAAATTTATTGCACCTGTCAGGTTAGCATCCAAGGCCCCCTCTAGTCCCTTCTAGTCTATAACTCAGTACTGTCCACAAACCAAAATCACCAGAGTTTGTTAAAGATGCAGTCTCAGGTCCAACCAGAGCTCCGGAATCAGCTGTGCTTATTTATTTATATTATTATTATTTTGGTTTTTCGAGACAGGCTTTCTCTGTGGAGTCCTGGCTGTCCTGGAATTCACTCTGTAGATCAGGCTGGCCTTGAATTTACAAGATGTGCCTGCCTCTGTTTCCCAAGTGCTGGGATTAAAGGCATGAGCCACCACTGCCAGGCTGCTGAGTATTTTTAAAAAGGTGTCAAAGCAATAGCAACTTAGAGCTATCATTATTGTCTTTCTCATTATTTAAAGGTTTTCTTCTGAGACAGGTCTTCCGATGTAGCCCAGGCTGTCCAGGAACTCACTATGAGGTAGTCCTCTGACCTCAAGCTCTGAATGCTAGAATTACTAATGTGAGTCACCATGGCTTCAAGCCATTAAACAAAAACAAAACACGGTTTCTCTGTGTGTAGTCCTGGCTGTCCTGGAACTCGCTCTGTAGACCAGGCTAGCCTTGAACTCACAGAGATCCACCTGCTACTGCCTTCGGAGTGCTGGGATTAAAGGCAGGAAGCTGAATTTATCCACTGTAGATCCCACAGGGCCAGAGAACACTTTCTAGATAGTGTTGCACAGGGGTCTGCCCTATAGTAGAGATTCCACTGCTCAGAACATCAGGCAAACTTCCTGCTCACAAGCACACTTTCCAGGGAAACTTGGAAGTAAACAGATGGTACAAATTGCATATTTAATGAAAGGCTTCCTTTAAATATCCCTGAAATCCTTTCTCATGTTTAGCTCTTCAGTCTTTGTGTTTGAAATATATGAATGATTATCCCATTCCTAACCAAGCTTCTTGTGGTAGGATTTTTTTTTAATTGTGGGTGTGAGCACATGCTCATGCATATGTGCATGCGCACACGTGTGCGCGTGCACGCACACATACACACACACACAGAGCTTTTACATACCCAAACAGAATTTTTGACTCATTGTTAATATTAATTACCCATTTTCATCTGAGAGGAACTATAGTTAGACAGGGATGCATCTGGAAAATACTTTTTCAGAACTCCATATCCATGTTTGAAACTGCTGGATTCCTAAGCACACAGAGACGTTCCCAGGCTGTGAGTACATGTGCAGTGCTACCTGACTTACACAGCTCAGCTCTTCATGACTCAGGTCAAGCAGCCTGTGAGCCTGGAACATGTCGTGCACTGTAACTGAATGAGGAGAAATGTTCACTCTTCTGAATGTCACATACTTTTGATTTTAGCTCTTTAAATTGTTAAGCTGGGTGGCATCTCCGAGGTAGGGGAATCTCTGAGTTTGAGGCCTGCCTGGTCTACTCAATGAGTTCCAGGACAGCCAAAGCTATACAGAGAAACCCTGTCTTGAAAAACAGAAACAAAAGCTCATTGACAGCTGGGTGTGGTAGTGCACATCCCGGAATTTAGTACTAGGGAGGTGGAGGCAGGAGGATCACAAGTGTGGATCACAGTGTCTTCTGCTACTCACTGCTCTTTTTGGAGAACCCGAGTTCTCTTCCCAGCACCCATGTGGGACAGCTTTCTCCTTGCCTGTATCCTTGGACCTCTGTACCTGCATTCACATGCATACACATGCACACAAGGACATCTTAAAAACAAGTACCCTTTATGCCAAGCTTGGTTTGTGCAGTGCCAGGGAACGAACCCAGGGCTTTCTACAAGCACTCTACCAGTCAAGTTATACCTGCAGCTGGAACTATTGAGCTTGGTCTTTGGTAATGATTTTAAAAGCGATCGTCCTTATCATTGCTTTTTGTTTGCTCCTTTGCATTTGTTCCTCCCATGGGTTGTAGGAGATTAGAATACTCAATGATAATTTCATTAGCTCCTGTAGCTCCGTGATTAGTTTTCTTTTCTTTCGTTCTTTTTTTTTTTTCAAGACAGGGTTTCTTTCTATTGTTTTGGAGGCTGTCCTGGAACTAGCTGGCCTCGAACTCACAGAGATCCGCCTGCCTCTGCCTCTCTAGTGCTGGGATTAAAGGCATGTGCCACCAACGCCCGGCGATTCTTGTATGGCCAGCATACAGTGGTATTTTATGAGGTACACAGAAAAGAGGGAGGGCCCTTTCACACATGGCTTCTAATTCTCTTCATAGAACAGTATACCAGAAAAACAAAATTCTACAGACTGTTTTAAATGAGAATCCTTAAAATGTCATCCATCAACGGCCTGCTTTACCTAGTCTGAAACCTACTCAAATCCTTTCCTTTTGTTTTTTTAAGTAGAATTAACTTGTAGTTCCATTAAAGGATCAGGTTTGTCTAAGACTTATATCCTAGATGGATCAACAGTCCTTTATAATGATAATGGAAGAAGGCAGGATTGCCACAGGCAAGTCTTGTGGGTAAACAAAGTTATGTTTTGCTTTTTTCTTTGACGGGGGGGGGTCGAGACAGGGTTTGTCTGTGGCTTTGGAGGCTGTCCTGGAACTAGCTCTAGTAGATCAGGCTGGTCTGAAACTCACAGAGATCTGCCTGCTTCTGCCTCTGGGATTTAAGGCGTGCGCTACCACCGCCCGGTGGCAAACAATGTTTACTTTGCTTTTCTCACTGAGTGAATTTATTACACTTCAGGGACCGTGGTTTAAACTTAGGTTTATTAGTTGATGCAATCAATAAATGAACTAAGGACGTCAGTGTGAGCTTTGAGAGAGGTTTGAGGAACACAGGACCCACCCCTCTTTCTGTAAGATCCAGTGAGAGACTCTGGTCATGAGACAATTTGTTACATACTTGCCCCTCCGTATTTACCTCAATTAGAAACATCCAACAATAGCTTTAAAACAAAGTTGCTAACCCTAGTAGTTTAGTTCATTAGTGTCGACTGAGGCCAAGCCATAAATAAATATTTGCTAGCTCGTGCAGATTGAACGATTTAAGAAGGAAAACAAATAGGCTCAGAGGCATACAGGAGCCACTGAATGTAAACAAGAAAGGCAAGCAGCGGACGTTGGGGGCCCCAGCTACCTCTAACCCTGGCTCCCACGCTGTTGTTAGCTTACACGGCTCTTTTGAAAAATTGGTTCTGAGTTACTGTAGTTTATTTTACAAAAGATTCCAACAACCTGGGCTTAACTTACTGTGAACAACTCGAACACTTTCCGAAGTCTATGCAGCTGCCTGCCTCGAACATAGAAGGTCCGCATTAAAACACAGCAGACAAAAAGCACTATTTCCCGAAAGCTGTGATTGGTAGCAGAGCCCTCTTGGGTAACAGCACTTGCTCCCAGTGGGCCTGCCTGGGTTCACTTCAGAAGGGCGTTTGATGCATGCATAAGGAAACTTGGGCAATTTAATCTCTATCAAATTATTTTTGCATCTGAAAAGTGGCCAAAGGTCCGAGCGTCAGGTTGAGGACTGGACGAGAAAATGCAAACCCTAAGCCTTTATCATGAAGGCCTCCCATGCCTGTTAAACGCCTGCCAGTGAGCCAAGAAGTTCCTGTTCCCAGAGATCCCATCTCCCTCCCTCCACAAAGGATCTAGACTTTTCATAGACGAAGGTGATTCCTTCTCTGTGCAGAGTCAATACATCCAGAAGAAATGTATGTAGCTTTTCAACAATTCCTTTCCCGCCAGGGAGGACCAGCCCGGAGCCCGGGACCACACCGGCACGCGCTTGCCCTGCGCCGACCCTACTTCCTCCTCTGTCTTAGCAATCCGCAGTCATTACGCAGCTTTTCCAAAGTTTAATTTTGTACTCGAACTTGGGACTCTTCTCATGTGAGGTCTAGTAAAGACCTCGTTTTATCACTTCTTGGAACGATCCACACTTTAGAATTCGAAGCGTTTTCCCTTCCCCATTCCTTTCTCGGGTTGTTTACATTTGTCTCTAACTGGAGGAGAATAAAGCCGAGGCGCCCAGTCTCACCCCGCCCCCAAACTTTCTTCCCAGTAAGATTTTCTTAGCTACTCTAGGAGGGTGCCACTGCCACCGTGGTGGACGCGACCTTTCAAAACTGATCCTTCTCTGCCACCTTCGGGTTTTAAGAAAGCAATTTGGGGGCTGAGCAGGACTTGCCCTCCCTGCGCCCCCCGCTGAGGGTCGGCGCCGCGGCGGTCTGCGGCTTGTCCTGGCAGGTTGCGCTCCAGGGCGACTCGCGACCTGCTCCACTTCGTTCCCGCGCGGCGTCGGCTCGCGGGGGCGGGGACATGGGCGGGCCGACGCCAGATTACGTCACCGGGGAAGTTCCCGGTCCTTAAGACCGGAGAGCAGGCGTGGGCGCCAGAAGAGAAAATTCTTGTGCTCGTGCAGCCAGCCCACAGAAGCTCGGTGCGTCTGGCCCGCGGCACCCTCGGTCCATCTCGCGCAGTCCGAGTCCTGTGGGAGTCCCAGAGCCCAGGTTGGGGACCTTAGTTCCCTGTGCGCAGCGGAGATCGCCGCGGCGCTTAGGAGATGCTCCAGAGCGTAGCGCGTCAGAACGCGCCATCGAACCCAGCGCGGGCAGGTACCTCTTAGCAGTTCGGCCCGCGGACACCCAGTGGAGGTCAGGGTCGAGGTCACGGTCGGGACGGTTCAGCCCTTCGGGGCTCGGGCCAGAATGTACGCGCCTGCATGTTCGGGCCAAATCGCCCCCCCCCCCGGCTCGTGCCTTCGACGCACCTAGAAAGTTCTTTAAGGGCTTCTGCCAGGACTGCGGGCCTCGGGGGGAGCTCAGCCCATCGCGTCTTTGAGATGCAGGTGCATTTTAGGCCAGAAAGGATCATTTCTGTCTGTCTGGTGGGTCTCTACTTGCTCTACTTAGGGGCCAGAAGGAGAAAAAAAAAATACTTGTGCAGGCCGTGGACTGGAAGATAGTTTCAGCGGCCAGTGGAGGTGGGAGAGGCCTCCTGGCCTAGCGCTTCCCTGGCAGGCCCTCTTCCTCCTCAGGCCATCATTGAGCCTCCCTTCATCTCGATCCTTGCTGCCCCACCTCCAACTCCAAGTAAAGTAGCGTTCAAACTTCAGACTCTCCCAGCTCTCACACCCTGAACCTATAGAGGCGTGGGGTTGAGACTTTTGATATTGAGCTTTTTAACTGTCCAGATTGGGAAGGCAGGGGAATCTTATTCATCCATCAACAACTCCTCCCACTCCTGGCACTCTTGCAACTCCCAGTAACTGTTGGGTCGGTTCCCCCCCCCCTTTTTTTGTAATCTTAATCAAAGATGGCAGTCACCTTCTAAGGGATTGCAAGGCTGTGGTCCGGAAATAACTTTGCGGGGCATATCAATGTTTACTCAGTTATAGTACCAGTTTCTCCTAAGGTTTTATAAGGCCAAGGGGTAATGCAGAAGTGGTACTTTGCAAGTATGAGGGTAGTTAACCAGGACCTGGATGGAGGAGCTGTGCCCGTCTCGTGTGTGTGTGTGTGTGTGTGTGTGTGTGTGTGTGTGTGTGTGTGGTGTCCAAGTGTTCTGACCATGTTTCTGGAAGGTCCAACATGAAGATGGCATTGTCGGGTCAGATTTAAAAAGCAGCAGGGAGTCTCGAGGTCAAGTGGTGAATGTGTAACTACAATAAAATTACGTTGCCAGGCGTGCTTATCCCTAACCCCAGCGCACAGGACACTGAGGCAGGAGAATCAGCCTGGACTGTATAGTTTAAGGCCGGACACTGTTACAGAGATCCCGGTTAAAAAAATTTGTTCCCCCTCCCAAATCAAGGTAGTAGGGTGGAGTATAGTGGTAGAGCAATGCCCAGCACAACTGTGGCCCGGGATCTTTGAGCTGCTTTCTGCCTCTTCCCGCTTTTGACAAAGCACTAATTGCTCTTAGAAATCGTGACTTCTAAGTTTTTATGTTGAATTTTTAAAGCCTTCGTGTTAATATATTTCACCTTAAAGAATGTTTTGTGAATATTTCTGAAAATAGTTGACCCTGGAACTCATTAAAACACGGCACACTGTGTAATCTCTTAGGGCCTCTGGTTTCACTCAGCCATTACAGAAATTTATCCAAAAATAGGCTTAAGAGCTTATTTTACTATGTTCTCGATCACTGTCAGCCGAAGCCGCAGGTATCTTGGTTACAAAGTAGACCAGCTTTTTTTTTTTAAAGATTTTATTTATTTATTACATATACACCAGATTGAATTGTAGATGGTTGTCAGCCACCATGTGGTTGCTGGGAATTGAACTCAAGACCTCTGGAAGAGCAGTCAGTGCTCTTAACCTCTGAGCCATCTCTCCAGTCCCGTAGACCAGCTTTTTTATGTGTATTCATAATTTTGGTCATAGTCTTGAGGAGTATGATAACAACTGGAATTGGTCTTTGAAATATTTTTTAAAAGTAGACTGATTGCATATTAATTTTACTTGTAACACTTTTCATAATATTCAACTAATTGAATTATTCCTACTATTCAGCTATTAGAATACCTAAATTCTAAAGGTAGTAAGACATGAATTTAACGTTTCTTCTGTTTCTTTTCTATAGATGTGAATTGGTACAGAGTAGGCTTGTAGGAAAACTAGCTTGATTTTAAATTCTTTTAGTAAAATTTATGAGACTTTTTAAAGAGGCCAGAGTTGAGCAATGACCTATAGAAAAGCAGATCTATGGCGCATGTTTTAGAAACTGGCTTCCGTTCCCAGGTCAATTTTAAGTGAGGGATAAAAGGGAGACCTCGCTGGGTTGGTTAAAGTGAGCGTTTATATTCATAACTTTTTAATTGAGTTGTCAGAGTTGGTGTGTGGGTGCACACAATTCTAAGTCCTTCTCACACTTGTGAAACAAGCTCTCCCAAGTAGCATCCTAGGGTACTGGCTAGGTGGGTGTGATAATTTGGGGGTCGCCGGTTGGATTGCAGTCGGTGTTAATTTCCAGGGGTTCCTTCCTTTTTAGAGCTAGCGCCTGAGTTCATAGCTCAACTCCGGAGGATTGGAGACAAACTGTCTTCTGAGTGGTGTGAACCCGACATCATTGCGGTGCTGGCGGAGATGCCTGGCAAGAAGGCTCGAAAGAGCGTGACGAGGATTCCGAGCCCAACGCGGGTCCCAACAGGTACGGGCCTGGGCGCTGCGGGACTGCGGAGGCCGGACTTAGTCCGTTGGAGCTCGCGCCTTCCTGGCGCGTGCCCTAGGAACACCATCAGAAAGTTCTCGAAGCAGCAGCTTGCATGTTAGCCAGGCTTCTGGGCTTCTTTTAGAGCCAGCACGTTGCCCATCTCCACAGCTTGCGTGGGGGGAGGGGGTTGCAGGAGGTCACCCTAGACAGTCACTGGCAAGCCGAGGGAGGCAGCTCGGAGGACTTGTCACCAAGAATTCCCTTACTCCCAGGACTAACAAAAGCAGTTCTTAAGCTGCTTCTGGGCCCAGTTCTACCATTCTGGGCTGTTTAAGGTTTAAAGATACACCCCGTTGGGATGCCGGAGTTGTGAAAGCCGGAGGCCTTCCTCCTTAGTTAGCATTTTAACTGTCCCTGCTGGGAGGTTAGGAGAGTGGGACGGGGTTTAGCCGGTGAGGAGGAGCTCTGTTTTGCATTCCCTTGTTCCCAGTCCCTTCACTTCTGTTGTCAACCCACTCCATTTTTTTTCCCGCCCAAGCACACCTTTCTGTGAATGCCATCAGACGGGTTGGAAATCTCTCAGGACAGACTGCTATTTCTTCTGACACCTGTAGTTAGCCCTTTCGCTCTTTTATTTCACAGTCGGCGTGCTGAGAAAGTGTTAGCGTAGTAGTGTGACATGACTCAAGTGACATTAGGTAAACTTCTGGTGCTTACATGGATGGGAGAAATTCTGTCCACCTTTTGGGATGCTCGGGAGTTTTGCTCCTGTTTATAAATTGGATGGTGGATAGTTTGTTTTTTGTTGTTGTTTTTTTTTTTTTGGAGGGGGAGGGGCAGGGACTCATTTAGTACAAGATGACCTCTAGCTTCTAATTCTCCTGTCATTACCTCTGGGATTACAGCTTGTCTGTCATTACATCCATTTAGGCAGCACTTTCACCAACTGACCCACAGCCCTAATGTTTTTAGAGGGCTATGTGTTAATATGACCCACTGACCTGAAAAGAAATGTCTGTTTCCCCACCACATTTAGCCTTGAAGCCCACAAAGAAAGACATCTACATGGGTTAAAGAAGAGCTCACTTGCCTCCTGTAGGCTGAAATGTAGGTTTAAATGTTTTCTTGACCACATAGTTACAGCTCAAAATTTATTTTGAGCCTTCATAGGGTCTTTCCAAAGTCATTTTTGAAAATGCTATCAGAGTTGAGTTTATAGCCTGGGTTTTAAAGCTGTCATTATTGCCTTCAAGTGCATCAAAGTGGTCAAAACAGTTCCTAAGATCTCTGTAAATTATGAAAGAAAATTGAAGATATGAGCAGTATCTATTTTATCTAGCATAAAGCTTACTTGGAGGTTCAATTAGATGAGATTCCTTTTTCTTCGTTTTTTGTTTTTGTTTTTCGAGACAGGGTTTCTTTGTGTTGCTTTGGAGCCCATCCTGGAACTCCCTCTGTAGACCAGGCTGGCTTCAAAATCACAAAGACCCGCCTGCTTCTGCCTCCTGAGTACTGAGATTAAAGGCGTGCACCACCACCACCACCACCACCTGGTGCTCTTATGATTCTTATGGGGGAAGAGAAGAGTCCCTAAAAATTATGTTTATATTTGTCTGCTGTGAGGGTGGCATGAGTTGTTAGATACAGCCCTTTGAAGATCAAGTCTACTTGGAAATAGCACAAGTGATTGGAATTTGGCTTTTGTTTCCTGCCTGACCCTATGAGAAAAGAACGACATCATGTGGGACAGTAAAAGGCTGACCAATGGTACTGCTGATAAAAATTTAATACATGTAATTTCTATATTTGGAGAACTGAACTTATCCAGGGTGCTTTTAAAAAATCAGAACAAATGTTCATACTCTTACCTGATCTATGTATGGAATATCACCATGTTGGAAAGTCAGGTGCTCTAAAGTTGAAGAAGTAGTCTGTGAGAGCCTTGGTTTGTCACATACAGTGTACTAGCTCTTGATGGTTTATAGTTGGGACTGTTGTCCAAGTTCACATTTATGCTTGACTTCCTTTTCAGATGTGGAAGACGAGTGTGTTCATCAACTCCGGAGGATTGGAGACAAACAGAATTTGCGGCAGAAACTTCTGAATTTTATTTCCAAGCTCTTTAGTTTAGTAACCTGAGTTCTTCAAAAGCTTCTTCAAGAAGGGACTCCTAGAAAGGAAGTTCCCCCGGTTGGTGCAAATGTCTCTTATAGGATGGACTGCCGTGTGATGGAGAGAGATGAGGAGAAACGCTCTCTTTCTTTTGGTTCCCTGAGCATGGGTGAAGAATGAGATGGAAACGGATTTCTTCAGGAAAGTTTTCAGAAATCGCTCTTTGAGATGTGATAACGTGAAACCACATGTATTTTAAAACAAGGCTAGAGGAGTCATGGAAATAGGGAAGTGACTAGTAATACATCTGTCTTTTGAGAGTTGGTGGTGTTTCTGTGAAAGGTTGCTGCCAGAAGTCATGCAAAGGGGCATGGCAAATGATGACATGGAAGGGGGAATGATTTTCTCCCTTTTGACAGCAACTCCAGAATAATGTGTACTATTTAGTTTGATCCATAATCTTGTAAGAGAAAACATTTCATTTTTGTTAACATAGAGTGTTATAGTTAATATTGACTTCATAGGTCACGACAAACATATTGTGTCTGTTTAGGTGACTTTTTTTTGAAGTTGTCTTTTGAGACTAGAGTTCCTCTGTATAACAATCCTGACTGTCCTGGAACTCTTGTAGATCAGCCTAGCCTCTTAACTCACAGAGATCCCCATGCTTCTGTCTCCTTAGTGCTGGGATTAAAGGCATGCACTACTAAGCCTGGCTGTTTAGATGACTTTTCAGTGTGTTTCTGTAAGCATTAACTAGATAGTATGGAAAACTACCAAGTAACTGAAAAAAATCAGAAGTATAGCAAGGTTACTTGGTGACAGTAAAATTTTTGCAGCTTGAATATTATGTGATAAAGAGAGTTGGGATCTTATGTAACTGGAGACAAAAAACAAGAAAAATTTAAAAGTTGATATAATTAGAACTTAGTAAAAGACTCAAAAGAAGTTCCTAGGATTTTATAGCCTGCCACAAGTATTTCCTAGAGTTTTGTGTTTGTTTTGTTTTTGTTTTTTTGAGACAGTGTTTCTCTGTAGCCCTAGCTGTCCTGGAAACTTACTCTGTAGACCAAGCTAGCCTTAAACTTGGAGCTACACCCCCACCCCAGCTTTAAAAGTTTCAATTTTAATCTGGGCTATAAATGTGAAACTCAATATTCAATAGCAAATCAATCCTGGTTAACAAAGGCAACAGATTTGACTAGACATCCCCTAAAAGGCACATAGATGGTCAACAGATACATGACTCAGAAATGTAAATGAGAATGACCATGAGATGATCTTATACTTGCTGGACTGACTGTTACCAAAAGTGAAAGGTAACAAGCATGGTAAGGACTCAAGAAGAGAAGGAATTTCTGCATATCTTAGTATTGTAAAGTAGGACACCTATTTTGTAAAACAGCATTGAGGTTCCTTTAAAACTAAGGAATGAACCACCCTAAACAGCTGTCTGACCACAAAGTGTATGTGTAAAGGTGTTGAGTTCTGCTGAAGAGGTGTCTTCATTTTTTATTATTTGTATTAGCTAAGATTAGGAGACTATCAAAGGCTGAAAGGGGTTTAAAAGTGGAAATATAAACAAAATTGAGCCTTAGAAAGCAGGAAATGTTACTTGTCAAACTTAGATGGTAGATAACCCGGGTCCTCTGAAGGCAATACTCTGCTCTTTTTTTTTTTTTTTTTTTTTGACAAAAAACCCAAGTCAGCAAATAGGAATGATGGCTGTGGGGTGGGGAATGAGGGCAAAACTAGGAGTTCCGATGTTCTTGTCTCCAGCAAGTCAGGGAGGTTGCCTGCTCTGACCACAAGGAAGTGATGTCAACCAGAAGTGATGCTGTGATATGCTAATAACTCTGCTGTTTCCCCACAGTGTCCATGTATTGGAACTCAACCCTGTAAATATACTTAATTCATCTGTTAACTAAATCTAAAAAATTTCCAAAAAGGGAAACAATCTCATTATTGAGTTTTACCAGGAATGCTATTTATTTTACTTATTTATGATTGAAATATTTGTTTCGCTTGAACATGTGTATCAGTTTCATTTTTGTTATGAGACTGTGAAGGGTGTCATATAGCAAGTCACTTTGGAAGAACTTACCTCAGTAGTTAGTGGGCCTTGGCATTAAGGTTGTTTACTTTGAAGGTGTCCCCTCCCTCCTTGGCCCAAAGGTAGACATTTTACCAGATGGGTATTTATAGTCTGACTGTATTTATATGTATGTTTCTGAAGACTGATACTGAAGTCTGAACTATTAAATAAAGTTGGATACTGTAGCAGCTATTGAAAAATAACCAGTCTTCCTGTGTGTTTTCCATAAATTAGGAAGTTTATTGTCTGTTTTAACACATACGGACAGACATCTGGTGTGTGTGTGTCTGTGTGTGTGTGTGTGTGTGTGTGTGAGTGCATGTTTGTGTGGGAAGGTGTTGTCAGAGGTCAATAGTTACTCCACCTTTTAAAAAATATTAATGGATGTGTGTGGGTGTGTACATGCTATGGTGCTTGTGTAGAAACTATAATGCTACTTGTAAAAGTTACTTTTATCTGAGTGTGTGTGTGATGCTTCATGTGTGGAGGTCAAAGGACAATCTGGACATCAGTGCTTTCCCCTCCACTTTGTGGTCCCCAGGGATATGGAGCTCGATGTTGTCTTGGCTGCAAGTGCCCTTATCTGCTAACCCATATTGTTGATCCACAGAAGACAGCTTTCGGGAGTTGGTACTCTTTCCCTCAAGCTGTATGTGACTGGCACTTTTACCTACTGAGCCAGCTCCCTTATTTTTAGAGATAGAATCTCACTGAACCTTAACTAGTGGTTAGCAGGGTCCAGGCATTCACCTCTCAAGATCCTCTCCCCTTCCCTACTACCCAACTTTAAGTTCTTTCTTAAAAAAACAAGGAAAAAAAAAACCTCAATTACAGTGGTGAGCTTCTATGCTCAGCTCTTGGTTTTATTATTTATATTTTTATTGTTTAAAACAATCTTCAAATATTTTGATCATATCCTTCCCTTCTCCCAAGTCCCTCCAGATCCTCTCCCCTTTCCTACTACCCAACTTTAAGTTCTTTCTTAAAAAAACAAGGAAAAAAAAAAAACAAGAAAACTCACATGTAAATTGGACAGGACAAACCAATAGAAAAAGAGCCTCAGAAAAGGCATAAGAAGCAGACCTGAGGGTTGGTTGGTGGTGACACACACCTTTCATCCCAGAACTTAGGAGGCAGATGGATCTGAGTTCAAGGCCAGTCTGGTCTACAGAGCTAGTTCCAAGACAATTCGGGCTTTTAAACAGATAAACCCTGTTTCTGAAAAAAAAAAAATCGAGAGACCCACTCATTTGCACACTCAGGAATCCCACAAAACAAAACACTAGACTGCAAGCCATATACGTGCAAAGGACCTGGTGCAGGCCCTGGCATGCTGCCACAGTGAGTTCATGCCCACTTGCTTACATTGGTTTAGAGGGCTTTGTTTTCTTTTCTTTTTTTTTTTTTTTTTTTTTTTGGTTTTTCGAGACAGGGTTTCTCTGTGGCTTTGGAGGCTGTCCTGGAACTCACTTTGTAGACCAGGCTGGCCTCGAATTTACAGAGATCCACCTGCCTCTGCCTCCCAAGTGCTGGGATTAAAGGTATGCGCCACCAACGCCCGGCTGGGCTTTGTTTTTCTTAGTGCCCTCCATCCCCTCTGACTCTTAGGAGTCTTTCTGACTCCTTTTCTGAGTGGCTAGGAGGTGGGGGTATTTACCTGAGCTCGAAGGATTATGTTCCAAAGTCAGGTCTCCATATGTGCTCTTATCTGTTGCAGGAGGAAGCTCCTCTGGTAATAACTGAACAAGGCACTGATGTACAAATATAGAAGAATATCTTTTGTTTGTTTGTTTTCGAGACAGGGATTCTCTGTGTAGCTTTGGAGCCTGTCCTGGCACTGGCTCTTGTAGACCAGGCTGGCCTCAAGAACTCACAGAGATCCGCCTGCCTCTGCCTCTCAAATCCTGGGATTAAAGGCATACACCACCACTGCCCAGCTTAGAATATTTTTAGGAGTCATTTTATCATTGCATTTTCTCTTTTAGATTATTATTTGGTTTTACCCTAGGTCCCTGGGCCATCTAGTCTGAGGTTCTTGGTCATCCAAGCAGTGTCAGAAATGAGTCCATCTTGTGGAGTGGGCATTAAGTCAAATCAGTTACTGGTTACACCCACAAGCTTTGTGCCACAATTGCCAGAGCAGTTCTTGCAGGCAGTTACATCACTGTAGACAAAAGGTTTGTGGCTGGCTTGGTGTTTTTCTTTGAGAGCAGGTGCACACCTTCAATCCCAGTGTTGGACAGGCAATGGCAGGCTAATCTCTGCGTTCAAAGCCAGTCTGGTCTACTTGGGGAATTCAAGGGGTACATAGAGAGATCCTGTCTTAAAAAACAACAACACTCGAGTGATAAAGGTGACTTGAGCCTAGTGGGCTAAGAAGAGTGGCCTCCCACTTTTCCCTGCCCCTTGCCTCAGCTGAGCTGTTGTGTGGTTCCGGTTGTACGGGCCTCCTTCTTCTCCCTCTGCCTCCACCCCTAGAACTGCAAGGATTGCTTCATCCTCAAGCGGTCATGTGCAGAAGGAGGCATACCGTGTTGGTGACCTTCCTCTTTGAATGTGGGAACTAGGAAACAGACTGCAGAAGCCTTATCTTTGCCTCTACCCTCAAAGAGTCTCATGACCTGAGGGGAGAGAGTGAAAACTGCCCCCTTAAAAAGGAAGTGAGGGATGGAGAGTTGCTTGGGGAGACTCTGAGGAAGCAGCTCCCTCAAGGTTGGGAGTTCCTTGGAGAAGGAGGCTCCCACGGGTGGGGGTGTGTGTGTGTGTAGGTCATCGCAAGAGAAACTCCTGGCTTCCGAGCTCTTACAGCTAGAATTGCATGACAGAAGGAACAAGCAGAGACTTTGGTATAGAGACCACAAGCTTGACATGAGTGAATTTTTGTTTGTGTGTGTGTCAATCTGGAGGCCAGAGGAGGTCCCACTATCTGTCTTTGAAACAAGGTGTCTCACTGAGCCTGGAGCCATTGAATCCTAGTTATCCTCCTCCAGTATGAGAGAGAGAGAGAGAGAGAGAGAGAGAGAGAGAGAGAGCGCACACACACACACACACACACACACTCACTCACTCACTCACTCACTCACTCATTTTGGCTTTTTACATAGGTGCTGGCATCCAAACTTAGATAGATCCTCAAGCTTACGTTTCCCCGCCCAGCCACCTCTCCAGTCTTGGATAGTTTGGAGACAGTCTTAACTATGTTGCAAGGCCAGATTTGCCTTGCACTTCGGATCTTCTTGCTTCAGCTTTCTCAGGGTTGGGGTTGCACCGATGGGGCATATGCCACGCCCTATGAGAACCACATTTCAATGCTTAAAACATTTTGCAAAGAGCCAGATAAGATATGCCTGTTATCATATAGCATCTAGGAGGCTAGGGCAAGAGGATGTCTGACGGGGCTCTAGCAGGTCCCAGCATGGCAAATGTGACACTGGCATGCCGTGCCAATCCCCCTTCCCTCTCCCTTGTAAACCGTAGATTACAACCCTAAAGCTAGCCACCAAGGTCTATTCCCTCTTTTGGTCACTCTCTTATGCCAGACTCATTCCTAAGGCTGATCACCAAGGTCCAGCTATCAAAGGATTAAAGTCCAGCAATCAAAATCTCCCTTTGTCTGCCCTAATTAACATGCCCAATCAAAAGCAACTCATACTAACATGGGGTTTCCCCCTTGCCCTTTATAAACTGCCATTTTGCTATGAGCCACACTTGTCTCCTCTCTATCCAGAGGCAGTCCTTTGTCCCTCCTGGGCAAATATCCCTGCCCCCTCTCCCTGTTCCTGTTTCCTTCTCCCTTGTGCTCGGTCTCTTATTCCCTGCCCTTTGTCTCATAGGGGCAAATCTCTTTTGTGCTGACTCTGCTTCCAGAGTGCTGGGATTACAGGCTTGGGCCACTGTGCCCTGGCTTACGTTACATTTTTTTTTTTGTTTTGTTTTCTTGAGACAGAGTATTTTGTTGTATCCCAGATTGGTCTCCAAATTTGTTATGTAGCCAAGACTGGTCTTGTTCTCCTTAATCTCCTGATTCCACTTCCCAATTGCTGGAATCATAGATGTCTGCCTCCACAGCAGACTGTGTTCCTCTTTTAAAAAATACAACTCTGTACATTTGAAAACTACTTACAGGTGTCTATCCATCTCTCGTTCATCTTTCTATCCTTCTGTCTATCTGTCATCTAGTCACCTACCATTTATGTATCTATCTTCTATCTAAATCATCTGATAAATTGTTTTTCAGATGGAAGTTCTGTTTGTTGTGGTGTGGGTTTGAGACTCTCTTACAATAACTGTGGTCCCTCCCCTATACCCACACAGGAGCAACATAAATGGTGAAAAATCTCTTTAAACTCCTCAAATCTTTGTCAGAGGACCATCCACCAGAAAGATAGCTTGGTATCTTAAAGCCTAGGTGGTTAAGCTGGAGGGGGGGTGGACCGGCACACACCTCCAGTTCCAGCTCTAAGGTGGCAGAGGGAAAGGGCTCTTCAGCTGGAGGCCCCCTTGGACTACCTAAGGAAGCACTGTCTCACCTCCCATCCCCTCCCCCAACCCACACAAAACCCAACAAAACCACAGTAAGTCAAGTCAACAGGCCAGGCAATGCTATAACGTAGTCAGGGACACACTGCTCGGCTCCTGGACTCACAAAGAAGAAACACTGAACAGCATGCCCATGGGCAGGCAACCTAACTGAGTCAGAGTTACTGGGAAAGTAAGAGGCTCACATCACCATCATCAAGTCCCTTGTAGTCTGACTGGAAAGCTGAGATGGCAAAGGAACCAGAACTCCTGCTTGGTTGCTGTCCAAAGAGTCCCCGCAGAGCTCCTGGCCCACAGCACTGAAAGGAACTGAACAGTTTTCAAAAAAGAAGCAAGATAATGGCGTTTCGAAAGAACCACCTCTTTTTCTGAACCATTCTCCCGTGTTTAGAAGCACTGGTTCCCTCGCAGGCTCATTTGGTAGAGTGTTTGTGCAGCAAACACAAAACCCTGGATTCTGCCAGCCCCAGAACCACATAGACTGGGGGTACACACGTGTCACCCCAGCCCCTGAGAGGTAGAGGCAGGAGGGTCAAGAGATGAAGAGGAAGGTAATCCTTGGCTACCCAGTAAGTCCGGTGTTCATCTCTGTCTCAAAAAACAAAACAAAACAAAACAAAAAACAAAACAAAAAACAACCCCCCCCAACAACAACAACAAAAGA